TCTCTTAGACATAAACATGAGTGACCTCTTCTTGAACATATCTCCCCGGGCAAGGGAAAGAAAAGCAAAAATGAACAAGTGGGACTATATCAAGCTGAAAAGCTTCTGTACAGCAAAGGACACCATCAATAGAACAAAAAGGTATCCTACAGTATGGGAGAATATATTCATAAATGACAGATCCGATAAAGGGTTGACATCCAAAATATATAAAGAGCTCATGCACCTCAACAAACAAAAAACAAATAGTCCAATTAAAAAATGGGCAGAGGAGCTGAACAGTTCCCCAAAGAAGAAATTCAGATGGCCAACAGACACATGAAAAGATACTCCACATCGCTAGTCATCAGAGAAATGCAAATTAAAACACAATGAGATATCACCTCCACCATCCAAAAGACAAACAACAACAAATGTTGGCGAGGTTGCGGAGAAAGGGGAACCCTCCTACACTGCTGGTGGGAATGCAAATAAGTTCAACCATTGTGGAAAGCAATACGGAGGTTCCTCAAAAAGCTCAAAATACCACTTGACCCAGGAATTCCACTTTTAGGAATTTATACTAAGACTGCAGCAGCCCAGTTAGAAAAAGACAGATGCACCCGTATGTTTATCGCAGCATTATTTACAATAGCCAAGAAATGGAAGCAACCTAGGTGCCCGTCTGAAGTTAGATTCCTGCCTCTGATACCATAGCCATGATTCTGTAAGATGCTAATATTTGGGGAACCTGGTGAGAAGTGTAGGGGGATTCTCTATATTACCTTTCCAGATTCTCTATACATACAATGTTAATTCAAAGTTAACAGTTGTAAAAGAGGGGAACCCTATGGATGAGATGATGGACTGAATGTAGGGTGTGAGATATTCAAGACTGACTCACTGTTCTTCCCCGAGCAAGGAGAGTCAATGTCTAGGGGTCGGACCCAGGCCCGGGCAGCTAAGCTTTTAGAAAGCCTGGGTGAATTCCCGGCCTCCCTTTTCCCCTCAGATGAGAAACCTGATTGGCTCACTTAACCGTACTATGCTCTTGTGCAGTGGTTATAAACTCCCAGTTTGCAGATGAGGAAACTGAGGCACCCCGCGGTTAGAAGACGGGGTGGCCTAAAGTCAAACAGCCCTGACTGGTGCTATGACTTGCATTTTCTGACCGCAAAGTCGTCGTCCTACTGGTGAGTGAAAAACCAAGCGGAGAGTTTTCTAAGGAATATTAGAGATGAGGGTCCTCCCTCGGGCCGCATTTACCCCTGGACAGTCGGCTTCACGAGCTGCAGTCAGTCAGGGGTCTCCAGCACAGCAGACGGGCCCCAGCCTCACTCAGCAGCTCAGGAACCCCTCACAGCCCGGGTCCGGGAGTGCGCAGCCCCCCAGGCCTTCTGCTTGTCTTTCCCTCTGGGTGTCCTTTCCGGCCGCACCACACCGCGCGCTCCCGTCCCCAGCCCCGGGAGCGCACCTGGCAGCCTCTGGGCTCGGATCCCGGCCCGCGTCCTTCCCGAGCTTCCCTCGGGCCCGCCCGTGCCGCGCCGCCTGCCCGGTGGCCTGCCCTGGCTGCCCCTGCACGCCTCGCGCCCTCTGCCACCCGGCCGCTCCTTAGCAAGGGTAACGCGCTAACGTTTCTCCAGCTCACCGACCCTCCGGAATTGCTCCCCACCGCTGCCCCAGTCTCAGCCCCTGGGACGATGCCTCGTTCGGCTTGGTGCTCAGTTAAGAGCGATGTGCAGCGTGCGTGACGGGAAGACAGGACGGGCAGGACCGGGGTCGTGCGGTTCCCCCACCGCGCAATTGAGGCATTAGGCTCGCCTGGCGGCTCCTCGGGCTGTTTACAGAAGAGGATGTTAGCGGGAGGGCAGCGGGAGCCCAACCCCGCAGCGGACACGGCGCGGCCGGCTCGGGGAGTCACTCCTGCGGACCCCAACTTTCCCCGAGCGCCCTGGCCGGGGGAGCCCTGGGCCGGCACCAACGACCGGTCCCGCCACTGGCCCACAGCCCCAGCCCACACGGGCTTGCCCTGGATCGTCTCTGGGTCTGTCCGACGCGCCCTCTCCAGGCAACCAGGCACACGCAATCCGCCATCCCCGGCCCGCACTCAGCCGAAAGCCGGTCGCACGGAGGGGCGGCGCCTGGGGCAGGAGGCGCACCGAGGCCTGTGGACTCGCGGTCACAGTCGCTCCGCCAGCATCCGTTCCTCGGTCCGCGTTCTGCGTGGCGCCCCGGCGTTGGTGGGAGGCACGGAGCGGTCTGAGGACCGCGGCGCTCTCCCCTCCCCGGGCCCGCATCTGTGGCGCCCCAGGTTCGGTAAGTCGCTCGCGGCTCACTCGTCCGGCCGGGGAGTGCAGGGTAGGACCGCGGTAAATAAGGAACCGGCGCCCCCGCCGGAGTGGGCGGTACAGCCCGGGTCTGCGCGCCGGCCTCCCTCCCCTTCGCCGAGGTTGGCGGGAAACTCCGGGCAGGGTCAGCGGTGGGCGACGTGTGCCCGATGCCCGCGCCTGGCTCCCCAGACGCCCCGCTGGCCAGGGGCGCGATCCCTGCCCGCCGGGCCCAGAGCTGCCGCCCGTCCCGGCGGAGCCAGCAGGGCAATCAGGCCGCAGCAGCATCCCCCGTGCGGAGGGTCGAACCACACTGCGGAACCTTTGAGGACCATGTGGGGCGCCGGACAGAAATCCCCGCACCCTGAGGCAAGCCATAGGGGAGCCGCGCATCAGCGGCGGGTTTAGACCCTGCAGGATCCGGCTGGGCTGGGGAGACCGCACCCCCGGTCTCCGCCCCCCTGTTCCCAGCGCGGCATTGGTCTGGCACCTGCCACTCATCGAGCTCCCGCCCCTGAGGTTCACCGAGAGAGGGGCCGGTGAGGGAGGCGAGCCCGCGCTGAGGCTGCCGGGAGCGGCGGTGGGCGGTGCTTTGAGGGCGGGGCGGGAGCGAGCACGCAGGGGGCGGGAGTCCGCCCAAGGCGCCCCGGGGCCGCTGCAGCCCCTGAGTAGGAGCCACGGAGGGGGGTTCGCCCAGCATGCGCTTCCCTGACCCGACGTGAGTTTGACGGGGCGCACAGGGGCGTGTGTGAGGGACGGGCGCTGCCACGGCCCTGCTGCGCTTGGCGTACCGGGGGGCTCCCCTGGGGACCGTGGTGTGGAGGGAGACGCCGCCCTGCGGGGAGAGCCTGGCGCGCGTTGCGTCCCTTGTAGGGCGTTCGGCCGCGTCGCGCTCTTCCCAGCAGTCGGCGGAGCGGGGCCCGGGTCGTCCCCACCTGGGCGCTGGGGCTTGTGTCTGGGCCTGCGGTCCCGCGGCGCTCAGGGTGCGGGGCCGGCTCTCTGCGGACTTCGGCCCGAGCGCGCGAGGTCGCCCCCCGCCTGGCTGCCTCGCCGACCGGGTCGTCCCTGTCCCTCCGGACGCACGGAGCTCGCTGCTGCTGAACAGCGCGGCTCCCCTGATCTGTGCGCACGCGCGCGGGGAGCGGCGACAGCCGTCACCCCCACTTCCGTTTGTAAGGAAGAGGGAGGCCCAGCAAGCGCTGGGCCTGCTGCGGGCGTGGTGCGCGCTCCCTCCCCCAGATGTCACATGTGAAGTGAGAACCTGAGCCGGGAACGGCGACCGGGACCATCCCTGAGCCTCGCCAGCGGGTGTGGAGAGCGGCGGTGGGCGGGTGCTGGGACCCTCCGTCCGCCTGGCCTCCCGGCTTCTGGCTGCGTTCATGGACGTGGACAAAACCTGGCAATCGGGGCCCGTGCCCAGGTGTCCACCTGCGGGTGACCCCTCCCCGCACAGAAGGGGTGGGAGGGATGAGTGTGACGCCCTCCGAATAGGCAGTAAAACCGATAACTCACTGTCCCTTCTGTAGAGAGCAGGGAAGGGGTGCCTACCCGCCCAGGAAGCCGATGCCTCAGCGCCTGAGAGCCAGCTGGCTGCCCGGGTTCAGGTGACTGATTCTGGGCTGCGGTTTCAGTGAGGTCAGTGCACTGCAGAACCTAAACCGAGGCCAGTTGTAGGGCGAGAGTGCCCCCAAACTCAGCCAGAAACACAGATTCCCCATTGTACCCCATCCTCTATAGGAATGGCCTGTTTTCACTGCTGTTCACCTGCCTAAGGAAATGCTTCCAACAGGATGTTTGTGGGCATCCCGCCTAAGGCACACGTGGCCGGCCCTGCTCTGTAGCAGAAGTAGAAAATCTACGTAACAGTTCATGTGACTGTGCGTCTTTAAAATGCAGTATTGCTTGATACATTTTAAACTCCTTTAGAACTTTCAGTATGTGAAATTTTACTTGGAGAAAAATATCTGATGGCTGTAGATTTTACTGCTTAAAATTCTCATAATTCATATTCTTACAAAAGGTGAATGGCAGCCTGTGGGTTGCCATCCATAGATGATTCTGTTTCTATGGGAATTGTTTGCCTTCCTTGTTATCTGTGGTGCAGGCCACAGCTCACTAAATCTAAACTGAGATCTGTTTCTTGTTATTGCTACCCCCTCATTGTCTGACTCCAGGGAAGACTTGCCCCAGCGACCTGGGGGCAATTGCATTCCTGGAGTTAAGCATGTTAATCACTGTGTCTAGAAACTTGTTCACCCACTCAACAATGTGATGCCTGGTCAATAAATGTGAGAGGCGCCTTTCCAGCACCACCCTCGAGCTGGTGTGCCTCGAGTCCCCTGGCTGCCCACTCAGGTCCTCGACATCTCATTGCGTTGCCTCCTTTGTCTGCGGGTTGGAGACGGGGAGGAGGCCGACTGCCCTGCTGTGGACACCAGCTTAGCTGTGGGATCCAAGTCAGCATCATCAGTAAGACACCAGTGCCTCCTTATAAGGTGTCCTGAGAAAGACACACCATGCCCAGGGGTATTTGCACCATCACCTGTGTGCAGACCTCAGGTAGTGTCCGTTTGTGTGGCATTCTAGACTACAGCTGGACTCTGTGCCCTTCAAAAAACTCAAGGTCAGAACACACAAAGAAACATGAGGCAGTGTGCAGCTGAGACAGGACCCAGGGGCCCGACTGTTGTGCATACACAATTCCTGAGGCAGGACTGGGCTGGGAAGGGGGAGGGAAGATGGCTAGAAATGGCATTGGAAGCCAGTGGTGGATGGGACAATAGTGGTGTGCCTTCATTTCCCACAATCATTGTCCTGTGCCCATGCCCTTGGGGTTAGGAAATATATATTGAAAAGTCTTGAGGACAAAAGGGCACAAAGTCTGAAACAGGGTCCGAAATGGGGGAGAAAGGAGTGAGAGTGAGAGAGATGATAAAAGAGGCCAGATAAATGTTGCATAGTGAAAAGTTGGTGGAAGTTAGCTGGGAAACGGGTATTTGAGAATTCTCTGTCCTATTTTAATACACCTTTTCTATAAATTTGAAATTATATAAGAAGTTATGGTAAAAAATGTCTACCCTTTGTTCAGTGCAAGTTAAGTATCTCCTACCAATGAAACTGGAATTATTCAAGTGACCGATTTCCACTAAGCACCTGATTTTCTTACGTCAACAGTCTGAGGTCATGTGTCAGTGAGGGACACGTGTGTGGCGAGCTCCGGTTTGCTCACTCCCAAGCCTTCCTGCCGGATTTGCTTCCTGTACTGGGTCCTGTTCCTGGATGAGGAAAGATGGGGTTGTTTTCCAGTGGATGCTCTCAGGGACCACCAGGCGTAGGCAGGTTTCATAGAACCTGCAGCGGCCTGATGCCCTGGGTCTTCTGCAGCCCGGGAAGTCCTGCACTCGGGCTGCTGTGGGCCCATTAGATCATGAACCCAAGTGTGTCAGACCTGGGAATGTTAATCTCTTCAGTGTTTTTAGGGCACTCAGTTCCCATCTGGCTCAGGGGAGACTTTGCGTCAGCCCAGGATTGTAACCTTTTCTTTTCGTTTGCTTGGCAACTTACATTGTAGAGGTACTGAAATGGGAGTTTTAGAAGGTGCCTGGAAGGGGAAAGTGACGTGGACTGTTACTCAGAGAAGGGAACTTGCGGCCCTTCCCGTAAGGTGCAGCACGGCTGTGCAGCAGATGCTCCCGCAGCTCCCAGAACGCCCATCCGGCAACTGGGGTAGAGGCCGTGCAGCTTCAGCATCCAAGGAGGCCTCACTTCATGCTGACGTAAGAGGAACCTCTGCAGCTTGGAGGGTTCTGGGAGGTGCAGTCCCGGGAGGTGGAGCTGCGCCACGGATTCTGGGTACTGAACACCACTGGCCACGCCTCCGAGGATTCTGGGTGTTGAAGTCCTGGTGCACCGCTTGAAGGATTGGTTCTTGACAGCTCAAGAGGGCCTCAGGTTTCTGGGTACTGATGACCTGGAACCGCCCCGCCAAGGGTTCTCGGTACTGACGTCCTGGGCCGCCCCGCGGGAAGTTCTGGGTACAGAAATCCTGGAGCTGCGCCGAGGATTCTAGGTCCTGGAATCCCGGCCTGCGCGGGGGATCCCGGGTAGTGTGCTCGGGTGGACGGCCACGCAGAGGCGCAGAGCCTCCGTCTGCATCCGGCCGAGGACGCGGAGCCCCCGTCCCCGGGTGAGTCGGGGCCCTGCAGCCCCCTGTCCTGCTCGCTCTTCCGAGCGGGGAGGAGGCCGGCCGTGCGGATGCGGCGGGGGAGGGGTGCCGAGGCCGGAAGCGCCTGCAGGCCGCAGGGGCAGGGGGTCCGTGTCCCAGGGGGAGACGGGGCGAGTCGCCGGGAGAGCCTCTGGGAAAGGCCGGGAGCTGCGGCCCGGGGAGTCCCGGCGTCGTGGGGCGGCTGCGTCTGGAGGGCCGCTCCCCGCGCGCTCGGCGGAGCCTCCGCCTGGGCGGGCGGGTTCCTGACGCCCGAGGAGAGGGAGTCCTCGAACAGGTCGGGCGAGTGGAGGTGAGGGCGGCGTCCAGAACGGTGAGCAGCGGCAGAGAGCAGGGAGGGCCGGGGGCGGAAAGGGGCGCTCGCTGAGCTCCGCGGGGGCAGGTGCCTCGGCAACTTGCACGGCCGGGTCACCTGGATGCGGGGTCCGCGTGGGTCTGCACAGCCTGGGAACCCCGGCCTAGCACCCCAGCATATCGGGGAGGCCAGAGCACTGCACGGAGTGCGGCCGTGTTCGGAGACCTTCCCGAAGGCCAAGAAAGGAGATTTGGGGGCGGCTTCTAAAGAGCGCGGTCGGACAGCGGGAGGCCTGTCCCGGTGTCCCAGGCGACGGGAACTCGTGAGCCCAACTCAGACCTCGGTGGCCCTTCCCTGCTTCCCCGAAGTAGGACAGAGGGGGAAGGCTTGCGCTTCAGTCTGCAGGTTAGAATGACAGCGAAGTAACAAAGACGCTCACCGCTGGAAGGGCGCAGAGACAAAACAAAATAAGTTGGTCGCACCAGTGAGAAATCTTTAAGTCAAAAAGTACCAGTCGAAGAAAGAGGAGTTGTGGGCAGCCTCAGAAGGTTCACTCGTAGTCTTAGGATTGTGTCTTTTCAGCCTTTCAAGAATGGGGAAAAGCTGGGCCGTTGCTGGGCGTACGCATGACTTGTGGTGTCCTTAGGGGAGCGCTGTGTATTTTCCTTCGTTCCTGCCCCCACTGCAACAGGGAATTGAAGGGCAGAGACAAAGTAGTGAAGCAGAGAAGAGGTTTTCTTTAAAGTTACTTACTTAGGGATAAAGTGCAGGCGACCTCAGGGAGGCGAGGCACCCTGAAGGGCATAAGTTGTAATTAGAGAAAGTGCTCACTCGGGAAGGGGTGTGGGCGATCTCACAGAAGAGGCGCTGGAAGGTTTAAGTTTCATTCAAGGCTAAGCACTTAGAAAGTGTGGGTGACCTCAGAGCAGTGCGTGTTGAAGGGTTGGGGGTTTCCCAATTTATTGATTTTTCACGAATGTGAGTGGGCTAGGGAGTGTAGACTTGTTAAGTGGTCCCGAAATGTTAATCTGTGATGAGACATTAAGTCTCTTCTCTGTCCTCCAGGTAATTCTACAAAATTAACACAGGAAATTTAGTGCTTTGATTTCTCCCTAGGGTAGCACCATCTGTCTGCCAGCATGTCAGCTTATGACTGCCTGCCCCGCCCCCTAGGTGGCTGAGTCATTGTTTGCTAAAGAGTGTTAAGAATTTTACTTCTTAATTTCCTGGGTTTTAAAACGCAGTCTTGGTTTTAAGCTGGAGTCCTACCTGTTGTTACGATGCTGTTTAGAGCTGGGCTTGTTTCCAGCTCCAGCGAGTACAGTGGTCCCTGAGGGAAGAACGGCGGCGGGTGACGGAATGAATGAATGAGGACACAGACACTAGCAGAGTTCCCGAGCTGAGCCTGGCCTGTTTCATTGAAATGTACCAAGGTTATATATGTTTTGACTATACAGTTTCACAAAGATTAGATCATTTGATTCTTTCCGAAAAAGTGTTCACATAAAGGTCAATCTTTAGAGATGATATTATTGGTGCCTTAGCAATTATTAATGTTTTCCACTTATGCTTGCTTGGCATCCCTGGCGGTTTCAGAACAAACAAGACTTAATTCTCACAATGTTCCCTCACACCTGGTTGGCTTGGGCCCTACTTGCAGTTTCCTTATTATTGATTCTAAAATAGCCACGGTTACTATTCATTTAATTAGTAAGTATAGCTAAGTCTATTTTTCTAGGTCTAGAGCATTACATGCAGATATAAAGAAAAACATCAAAACAGTCTATCATCAAAGCAGTGTACCAAGACTAACCTGATTGTAATTGCGGGAACTGGAAACTGTACCCTTGGGTAGGTGCCCAGTTTCATAGAGACGAGAGCGTTGCCCCTGGGGGAATGAGGTAAGGGGGTAATAACCAACGAATCCGAAGGCTTAGGGGCCCAGTCGGGCCACCTTTCTTCCCAGGGAGTGCAGGGTCATGTCCTTTTTGAGAGTTTCTTTAAACCATATACAATAATATCTATAAGAAAATCTCTTCAATGGGGAGAGTGTGTACAGTCATGCCAGGCCCTTCCACCCACAATATCCCGTCCGTTATACATGCTGGCTCTCCTTTATTGTTCTATTTTTTTCCCTGGGACCCAACAGGTCTAGGAGTGATGTAGAAATTCCTCTCAGGGCCGAGTTGGGCGGGGAGAGGGTACTGGAACCCACTCAAACAACCCCTGTTTATTATATCCTAATACTTGTTTCCAAAGTCCTCTCTGCATCCTCCCCTTCTCATTCTGTCCCTACTTTCTGGGGGAAATAGGGTCTTGCCTCTGGCATTTCTCCCAGGGTATTTTAAATTTGGTTTTCCAATTTAGGTGTATAAATACACAATAACAACATTTCCAAACACCGTAATAATAAGGAGAGTTAGCGGGGTTGTTCCTGTCAGAAGTTCACTTTGTGGTTCCTTCTTGCTGGGCATCTGGGCAGTGCCATCAGGTGGGCAATTCGGACTGGCTCCTGACAATTAATCATGATGCTTATCTCTTGCCCTGGTTGCAAATTACTAGTTTAGGGGCTGTAGGAGGAGAAAACAGCATATGGGTAAAGTTAAAGCATAAGCTGGGCCTTTTAGCAGGCACAGTAAATGTTACAATGGCATGATGTAATTGACAAGATGAAGACAGAGGCTATGCTCAGATAGTTTTATCTGGGAATATTCAAGAATTCCAGGCCAAGTTACTCCAGGAGTTTTTAGCCTTACTGTTTAACTCCTTAACTATCCATCATTTCTGGATCAACAGTATAAGTGGCCAAGTCTTTTGAGTCCCTCCTGGTGGGTTTTCCTGGCCTTATTTTCTTTCCACCCCACCCACTCATATCTATTCTTCTGCCTAACAGTCTCATGTGATATGTGGCCTCATGATCTGAGATATGGTGAGAGATGTTACATCACCATCCGTAGTCTGTCCTGTAGATGTTCTGTAGGATGAACTTAATACAAGCAATTTCTTGATTCAGTTCTCCTCCGAGATAGTACTTACCCTCAAACAGTTGGGACATATTTTTTGGGGGAGAGGAGTTGGTTCGGAGTGGGAGAACTCAGTATAAGGTGAGGGAGGAGTTTATCTCATTATATTTTTATACAATATTTTTACTAAGGTATTATTGATATATACTCTTATGAAGGCTTCACATGAAAAACAATGTGGTTATTATGTTCTCCCACATTATTGTGTACCCCATCCCGTACCCCATTGCAGTCACTCTCTGTCAGTGTAGAAAGATGCCAGAGTCACTACTTGTCTTCTCTGTGCTACACTGTCTTCCCCAGGACCCCCACACACCATGTGAACTGATCATAATACCCCTCAATCTCCTTCTCGAGGAAGCAGTTTATTAAGGCAAGAGTGTGAGGGAATGACAGAGAGAATGACAAAGGAAGTTCACTGAACCTCTGCTGTGCATGGGTCGCATCCCCTGCTGACTGCTTAAGCCGGTGTCACCTTGCATCCAGTGTGCACTCGGATCTGCACAGCGTGGGAACTGAGTCCCTACCACCCCAGGCTCTGGGGGAGCCGCAGAGCACAGGATGGAATGAGGTTATGTTCTGCAAACTTCCTAGAGACAAATAAGTGGGGCTTTCAGGCAGGCTACTAGAGAGCAAGACTGTGAGCTGCAGCGCCATCTGGGGCACCCAGGTGACAGTGATTTGCGAGCCCAGATCTGACATCTCAGCAGCCCCTCCTTACTTATCTGTAATAGGGCAGAGGGCGTTAAGGTTTGAGCTTAAATCCAGAGGATCAGAATGACAAAGCAATGTCACACAGAAACTTGATGCCAGGGTTCTTTTTCACAAAACCGAACAATGAGCTTTGCACACACTAAAGGTAGGAGAGAAAAATACAGGCTTTTATTTAGAGAGAAAGTGAAAGGACAGAGCTCCTGAGTCACACATGGAGGGGACAAGAAAGTCCAGGTGGTGCATTGTCTAGGGGTGTTATAGGCAGTTGAGGATTTTTGAGAAGATGAAAAAAGGCTTAGGAGTGTGGACTTATTGAGCGGTCCCGGAATATTTAGAAGTAACTTCACACAAGTAACTTCCTGCTCTGTTGATTTCTCCCTGAGATACCAGCATCTGGGTCAGGGAGCATAAGAAAGAAGGCCACCTTCCCAGCCCCTAAGGTGGGCTAAGGTACTGTTTGCTAAAGAGTAAGTTAAGAACTTCTAATGTCTTTACTTCTTGGGTATTAAAATGCAATCTTCTCTTTAAGGTGGAATCATTCTTGCCTTTTACTGTGTTGTTTATGGCTGGGCCTGCAAATAGTAATGGTTTGCAGTAAATTAGTTGCCCAGTTTGCAAATCACCTCATCAGATCTGAAGGAGGAAAGGCACCACATAGGCCTGGGCCTTTTAGCATGTTAAAGTGAATCCCACACATTTTATAAATGATTAGCATAATAAAAACATGTGCTACTCTTCTTTATCTGGGGAATATTAACTGATCTCACTGAAGAATGACTCTAGAGCTGAATGTTTAACACAGAGTTTTAGTAGGGGGTTTCCTTGCATGTAGTTACTTTGCTCTGACTGCAAATATCCTGCCTTGCTTTTTCCGGAGGCCCTCAGCCTCTTCTGACTACACCCATGCTCCCTGTCTTATTCCCCCCCTACAGATTGAGATCCTAGTTGCTGCTAGGGAAAGGGTGCATGACCACTCTGGCTGCTTCATGCTGAGAGGGAACACATAAAGGGTGCAGCTAGGTCTTCATCAGTGGTCGGTTGGTCGGGAGGGCCTCCGAAGATGGTAATTTCCATCCTGGATTCTGTTTCCATCACTATTTGTACTTTCATGTCTTCTGGGTGAAATAGAATAAATCATGTTATTAGATTAAGTATATAGGGACGAAATGTGAGTATGAGAATGATGATGAGCTTGGTGAATAAAGTGGATTTCCACCAAAGAGCGGTAGAAAGCCAGGTTCCCATGGTCACAGTCCGTGGGATTTCTGAGCTCAACGTAGC